TATTGCTAAATTGATAAGAGGACATGAACGGGATTATATGAATTGTTGTTCGAAGAGAAATAAAATAATGTGATTAAAACTCACATGTTAATAGGTGGCATGTTATGTGTCCCTTGGGGTGGCATTGTCATTAAATGAAAGGGACATCTAATGGGCTCACATGGCAAAATCAAGATGGAAAGCAAGAAGATACAGGACATATGGCCAAAGAAATTAAATGAATGGCGAAAGTCAAGCTACATACATACAAGATCAAGAGCTAAGATTTAAGTAAATTCTTATAAATACCCCTCCCCTCCCATTTGCATAATCTTTCGGCCAAGAGAGAAAGAGGGGGAGAGGAGACCGAAACTTGGAGAGGAAGACAAACAAGAGAAAGAGTAAGAAAAGCCATATAAAGTTAAGCTCTAAGACAAAGTATACTTATGGTTTTTGACGTAGTTTATCTTGTTATTTGTCTTGTTGAGTTTAGTTGTAGTTTTGTTTTATTTTGGGAGCTTGAAACTTTAATGCCTCGTTTGGTATGATGGAAGAGTTTTTAATGGAAGTGAAAGTGAAACTAGAAGTGAAAATAGAAGTGAAAGTGGAGGTGAAAGTGAGTTTTAAAACATGTTTGGTAAGACAGGGGAAGTGAGATATAATTTTTAGTAAAATATGTGTCTATAATATGAAAATACCAAACTATCCTCAGCTCAAAAAAAAAATCTCTTTCGCTCCCACTGATGTGAACCGTCGTACCCTACCTTCATCTGACCACCACTGTCGCCGGAAAAATGCAACGTCTTTCAATTAGAAACATTATCCATAAACTAAAACTAGAAGACTAAAAAGCTAGAAACAATAACTAAAACCAGATTAGAGTAATGGAAAACGCAGCAAAAAAATCAATAGCAAGCTTGAACTGTGAATAAAATCTTCCTTGAACGAAAATACTCTAGTCTATCTCATCCACTGCCAACAGTTCGTTCCCCCACCACCATTTGACCACCACTGTCACCGGAAATGGGGAAGACTATGACAAAATTAAAAAAAGAAAAATGCACATCTCCAACAGACTAGCACAACTAAATGCAATCTAAGCTTCACACCTTCGAACATTCTCCTTCATTCTTCTTTTTTGACCTTCACTCTCGAAGTACCACCGTCGACTGGAGGACCATGAACCCAAGATCTGTCCACCATGAAGGACGAAGGATGACTAATTCGTGAAGACTAGAGGACGCGAAGAGTGAACATAAGCAAGAAGGTGAAATCAAGAAGAAAATTATTAGAGGAGAAAGTAAGAAAGAAAATCAATGACATTAGCTACTTCATCATCCATGGAATCAACCGTTTTGACCTTTCTCCTCTTTGATAAAGAAAGAAATCGCAGATCGAAGCATGAAGGAGAATGCGGATAGCCATCCGACATCGTCCGTCGTTCGTCGTCCTCGCCGCCGTCCTCCTCGGACTGTTTCAAGGAGAGCTCGACTGTTTCAGGGAGGGGTAGGGGCAAAATAGTCCCATCCTCACTTCCATGGTACTGGAACCCGGTTCCTCGGGCATAGGCATGGAACCCGGTTCCATCATTTTTTATGGAACTGGGTTCCACATGGAATTGGATTCCTATATACCAAACGGCAAAACGGCCCAAATTTTCACTTCCCACCCCGATTCCACTTCTTAGCCTCCACTTCCATGCTACCGAACAGATTATAAGGAGACATGCTACACGAAATTGATAGAGTCAAAAGAAGATAAAACTAATATTAGAATAATGTTTAAAGACTTAAAAGGAATGAAAATCAAGTGATTTTGAGTTGATTTGTGAAAGATTTCATGATTATGTACCTAAGGTTACATTTCTTAAAAGACAATTCACTTACAGAACATTGATCATCTTCAAATATTTTCAATCAAAAAGTTTGATTTGAGGGGGCAAACTTGGTTACCAGAATATCATTATTGTAATATCAGTTAAGGCTATTCACGGGACGGGACGGGATCGGGACGGACCTGTCCCGATCCCGTCCCAATGAATAGTAATGGGACAAGAAATTTGTCCCGTGTCCCATCCCGATATTGTCCCAGTCCTGATCAGGATGGAACGGGACCAGGACGTCCCAGTACCTTGTTTTTTTTTTTTGAAAAACCACTGTGGGCTTCTGAGAAACACTGTGGGCCTTTTTAAAAAAAAATGTTGTGGGCCTCTTAAAAATGATGTGAGCCTCTTAATAGGAGATTTTAAATGATCTAGGCCTTCAATAGGAGATATACTTTTCATATATCAACAATTTTACAATCTAAATAATAACAGACAGCTTTATATTGTTCTTTTTTTTTTCCAATAAAGGAATCTCATTAATTGTAACGAGCTAGGAGAAATAGTTCACTACAAAAGATAAAGGGAAAAGAAACCAAATGACAAGCTAACAGGTCAAAAGCAAATAAACCGATCCCTTCCCTGTCATCCTCTTGAACGTGCTAATCAAAATAGAACCAACTAACAAGTAACAAGCCAGAAAATAACAAACAGAACCAAATCCATTGACTAGAAAATGGTACAGTTTTAATAGCATCATCTATTAAGAATTTATGGTAAAATTTTCGTACAGTTTCTTCACAAAGAGAAGTTCTTCAAAATGATCATAAAGGCTCAATTAGCTTTCAAGAATTTATAGTAAAATTTTCGTACAGTTTTAATAGCATCATCTAGAAATCAAACACTAAATCTACAATTATATATATATATATATTATATTACTACTTCACAAACCATCAACCGAATGATACATACAAATTATAAAAGAATTCAACAACCAGAAAAATTCAGAGAACCAACGAATGAGGCAAATTAACTCGGTAGGTTTTACTCATTTCACAAAAGATTTTCTTTTCTCTATCTCGTTTGTGAAGAATATCAGACAAATCCCAATCAGCCAATCCATAGTCCATATTCATACAAAGAGGCAAAATATCGTGCTGGATATTAAGATGAAATCAACAAGCATGGATGAAAACTCACGGGTATGAGAAACAAAGAAAGTAGAAATCGAACGGTTGGAGAGGAGATGAGGCCAGTCTGCAATCTACACTCTATAGCAAAGACTGACGCCGACGATGGACTAGGGGCTGGAGAGAAGCTGCGAAGGTTGCAACTTTAATGGACTAGGGACCATGACTCTGTGAATGAAGAGTCGAAGCCGAGACGAGAGAGGCAGAGTGAGTATAGCTGACGGCCTCTTTCGCACTTCGCAGATCAGAGAATAGCCGAGAGCGGAGACTAAGACTTTGAGAGGCGACTACCGACTGGTGGGAGTGCGAGACACTGGACACGGTTCACTGCTCCGTCGGTCGTCACTGTCTAAAATCTGAAGGGAACGAAAGTGAAAATTGCAAACTGGAGACTGGAGAGACTGAGAGAGGTAGAGACGGTCAGATACTCAGATGGTTAGGGGGCTTAGGGCTTCCAGTTCATATTTTATTTGTTTTAACTTTTTAACATATAATAATATTAATAATGTATAACTCATAATATAAATATAATATAAGATATTTTTAAAAAAAACATATCGGGACGGGACGACCCCGTCTCGTGTCCTGTCCCGTCCCGGTCCTATTTTTGTCTCGTTCTAAAAAATTTTGGGACGGACCCGTCCCATTCCAATAAGATTGGGACCGGGACGGGCCAGGTATGAACACCCCTAATATCAGGTTAACAACATGGGATTAAGAAAAATAATCTATAGTTGCATTATTATTTTTATCATTGACAAACTATATAAATAGATATTCATAACAGAGGGGGTGAGAGTGATAAAAAGAGTATTATATATGATATAAGGGATAGAAGAATACAGGATGCGTGTTTTCTTTTTACCACAACATAAAACACAAAAATTGGAAAACACAAGTCAAAATGCCTTCAACCTATCACACTTCACTTTCATTTTTTGGGTAGAACTATTACTTCTCATTTAGGTGAAGCCATGAGCTCCAGGTCAAAAAAAAAAACCATAACAGGTCAAAACTAAAAAAAGAAGCCATGATCTTGAAGTATTACTCTTCATACCAAAAAAAAAAAAATTATGATATACTTAGAAGTAAGTAAAGGAGAAAACTATATCATAACAATCTCAATTAACTAAAATATAAAAAATGTACCTCATCTTTATGTCTTATTGTCATTTAGAGGTGACAGCTTGTCTGTTTCTTTAGCATATACAAGATAGATGCAGTCTCCTTCACCACAATATATTTATGATCAAACTTAATTTCAACTTCCACCTCATTTTTAGGCTCTAAATTAAATCCTATGCTCTGCCATTCTTCATCAGAAAAAGTTGTTGCAACTTCTTGCTTGTAGAAATCTATGGTAGGTGAAATTCTTCATCATAATACCAACAGATTGTATAGATGCCGTGCTATCTTGAAGAGATGAATAAATAATGTTGAGGACCATTCCTTTTAAGCTATGACCAAAAACTTGAGGATGACACTGAAGATCACTCATGTTCAAAAACCAGCCAACCAGGATTATTTTCTTTAGGTAGAGAATAGTGAGGCCCTTCATTCCTCCATCCCTATATTCCTAGAACAAAAGGAAAAAGTCACATTCGATTGAGAAAATGTAGAAAATAATAGTCACTAGAGTTGATACTCTAAACAAATGGAAAACTTCAATGTTTCATATTTGGCCAATGAGTTTGTCATTGGGTTGAATGGTAAATAATGTTCCTCGTACTGTGAACATTTACACAGAAAAACCAGATATTGCAAAAAGTACGATCTAGCACATAATATAGATATGATATTGATAAAAGCACATTTTATACTATTGTACCTTCAACAATATTTACTCTAATTATTTAAACATGTAAAATAGAAAGGTGTTTTGCCGATTTTGAAAATATTATGCATGTGGTAGTAGAGAATTAAGATAAAGAGAAATACCTTTGAAATACTCTTTGGAAAGGTATCCATAATTTTCTTGCACCATCCTACTTGAATTGTTAGAAAATTCATCAACGTTTCTGACCTTTCCATGTGAACTTGCTCATTAGATTCAAGTAATGATAGAGTATTTTGACATGAAGCTTGAGATGTACTTGGTCGTACTTTTGATGTTTCACATCTTCTTGAGAATAAGGGATCTGATAGGCTCCTAATTAAAGATGGCAAGATCTGAAATGCTTGAGACAAGGACTTTAAATGGTGCGTTAGTGACATCAAATGCAAAACAAGCGATGGAAATACACCCCAAATTGATCCTTCATAATCACATGAAGACAAATATTTAATGTTTTTCAATCTCACTAGCAAAAATGGCACTTGTGCTATAGTAGTTTGATTTGCATCCAAAGTTGTTAAAGATTCCATCTTCATTGAATAGAATTTTTGAAAGTAATTTGAAAGGGTTAGAAGCCCAAGTGCTTATTTGGATTATGTTTTCATACCCCAGAACACTTATGACTTGTGTTGGAGTCACAGTGAAATCTTTCAAAAAGTAACTTTTCAATTATAATTTACGGTATACAAGATATGTATATAAAAGAGGTTTTGTTTCGAATTGTGTGAATAAGTGATTTTGATAATCCTAATCTTAATCCTAAACAAGTATTTATTTATGTAAGTTGAGTTTAAATTTTCCTCACATACTTTGTAATCCATAAATTATGATGGAAAAAAAATGTTTTTGAAGGATTACAAACAACCACTAGATTACTTTGACTTGATCTACTTAATTTGAATGTGAGACTAACACACACACACACACACACTAAGAGCTGCTTATTTTGTTAGTTTTTTATCGCTAATTTTTCAACACTTTTTATTTTAATGATCTTCCATGTGTTGAGGTGGGGGTAGCTGAGTCATGACATTATGATGGATGATGTGTCATCATGTAAAAGAAAAATAAGATTCACCATAAACATATGGGAAGAAAAGTTGGAGTCATCTATTAAAAATAAAATGATCAAAAGATCACTTAAGGCGTCTCCAACACGTATGAAAAATTAAAAGGAATACTTCATTGTACTAAAAAAAAAAGGAATACTTCATAAAATTGTGGCGTAAATATTCTAATTAACAATTTATCTAAAAATTTAGTTGTTGGTAGAATATAATAACACCATGTGAGACGATGACACTTTGTAAGATAGAATTTCTCGTTGTTGATATCTCCTACAATACACCTCCTATTTCTCACAAAAATATGCACGCATGTTTTTTTTTTTTTTAAGGTACCAATTTACGCAAGTATGGTTACTTATTCTTCTAATTGATTTCACATCTTTTGTTTCTCAAAATTTTCAGTGATATTTTCATTTTTTCTTTTGGTGCCAACGATATTTCATTTGATCCTTAATAATGCAAAATATACCCCTCAGTTGGTCTTGAAAAAAAAATATCCCATTTATTTTTCATTTTATGCCAATCTCCTAAGGTGCATATGGGACCAAGACCTACTGAAAAAAAAAAAAAAAAAGGTGGGACTAACACCTATATGGAATTTTTTTCCCCCTCCGAGGCCTCCTCTCTAGTATTCACGAAGTCACTCTTGACAAAAATTTGACTGGATAAATATCTATATTAATACTAACCAAGATAGAAAGGCATTATGCAATGATATTTGACTAGAACTCATTCTAGTAACTAGCAAGGGAATTTTCTGTAACCTATAACTTTTACCAAGTCCCTCTTGAAAAACTGTGAGCAGCAATAATTCATTATCCGAGTTAAGATCTTTTTCAAATATAGGAGATAAAAGTCTTTCGACGAGAGAGCCAAATTCTTAACCCAAGTACGATTCTGAATCAATTCTCTTTGATGCCCTCCCTTGATTGAACAATAAGAACATTTCTTTCTCTTAATTTTTCTTATCCAATTAGTCCATGCTCAAGCATCCTAAACATGTAAAACCAGTTTAGCTTAAAAAAAAAAATTCTAATCCAAGTTTATATCCTTTTTATGTAATGAACAGAACCTCACGACTTATAAGTTCTCCACTTCATTTCTGTTCATTATTTTCTTGATAAATATCTATATTTATATTATCACATCCATTTTCTGATGCTTGTTCACTTAGTTGAGAAGCATGATCAGGGGCCTATTTTCAGCTGCATATGTATAAATCAAATGGGCTTAAAATGTTAAGAGAGTGAATCGGCCCGACCTTTTAATAGGCAACGACATAAGTTGATGAGCCCACAAGAATTATTATGTCCTCTTCTGAGTCCACTTTCCTCGTTTTTTCAAAGGCCCATTTCCATGCCTCGTATTGCTCTGGGAAATTTTTGGAGGAGAATGGATCTTTAGGAACTGAGATAGAATAGCCCATGATTAACTGTTTCATAAAACAGACATGTTCATTCATCCAAAAATTCACATCCCCTTTGCCTTCTCTTCTGATCAATCTGCTGCCGAATTACTATATTGGGACATAATGAACTAAGATAAAACCCGGGCCTCCCTTTCAAAAACTGTAATATGACCCTTCACAAAATCAACTAGAAAACTACAATCATTTTCAACTAAAGCTTTATCACAGACTAAATTATTTGGTTTACTCCTAAGAGCAAGTGCCGTAGCATATATGGCAGAAAGAACCTTCACAATTTAAGATAACTATAGCCAAAGGCTCCATCAGTATTCAGTTTGAGCTCACAGGCCAAGAGAAGAAACCACTTCACGTCTACAGTACTTGTGTTAGAAGGAAACACAGACTTGAGCTACCATAAGCGATGTGGTTCCATCCGTACACTCTGCTCAGTGTCACCTAAATCATACAAACACAAAAAGAACAACTAGGAAAATGCTTTAAAAATCACTGTTCACAACAAAGTCAACCCCAAAAGTTAAGATAACTCTCAAATTCATCATAAAATAGTTTTCAAATGACTTAAATAATCAATAAATCGTTCAAACTATCACTCGCTGCACATAAAGTCCACATGGGGTCAATTGCTTTAGATCATTAAGCGCAGAACAAGGTAATTTCTAAATATAACAGCACATTGGAGAAGACAACCCTAGCTGAGTACTACACCAAGTATAGTTCAACCAGTAGCATAAAAGAAAATAATTTCAAAATTTTCCATACCTGAGCCACAATTGAGAACGTATAGGCCTTCTAGTAAAGCATCAGTTCTCTATTGTGACAGGCAAACCAGAGGAAATGCTTCATTTTAGGCTGTACTTTCAGCTTCCATTGTTGAAATGCTTGGTCCTTTAACTGGCAGGGAAACAAGTTCTTATTTATGGTTGTGATTTTCCTTTAAAGATCATTCACCTACAGAAGATGTACTCCAAAATTTAACAAATTATCTTCTCTGTGATCAGTAACAGGGATGAGCATATAAGAATCTTATGGTAACCCAGAAAAGAAGAGAGAGAACAACGTAGCCTCTTGCGTACTCTAGAGCAGTATTTAATTAAGCAAATAAAATAGATCGAGGACCTCAATGTGCAGGAGAAGAAACAATAGTGGAAGAAAACAAAGGAGGAAAATCAGCAGGTAAAGATTTTAGGATTTGAGTAGACAATTATTTGACCAGTTCAGATCAGCACCTGAATTTAATTTTAAATTTTAAGAACCAAAATTAGCAGTGGAAACTCACCGAAGAATATCTTACTAAAGCAATCTCTAACATCTTCATTCTCAAAGACCACCTTACTAAAGCATTCACTAATAATGGAAATTTTTGAGAACTGCCCAGGGCAAAATATTTTGATCCTAGAGAAATATTATAGCTCTAGCTAGCTTTGAAATTCCCAATCCGTCGAATGGAATTTCATCTCCAGTCTCATATCCCTTTTCTGCCATAACTTGCTCGAAGACTACAATCTCCTCTTGCTGTTGAAAAGGTGCTTCAATAAATTAACCATAAAAGTCACCAACAAAACAGGAAGAAATTTTTAAAAAAAAAAAAGAAAGAAAGAAATTTGAACAATATTTTTCCATTACAAATATTCAAAAACCTCAGACATTTTGTCCATTTGGAATCCTACCTACATTATATAGATGATGGTGTTTTTTTGCAATTCATTATCAAAATTTTGTGTCATTTTCTTAATTGTCTTTTCTGATCTATAGTTTTTCACCTTGGAATACATCTCCTTCAACAAATTTCGTTGGAGACACATAGGAGCTCAAGGCTGGATTTGTTTAGTAGAAACCAGTGTAAAATTCTGACATGGTCATCTTCAAACATTTTCAAACAAAGAGCTTCATTTGAGGTAGCAAAATCGGTCACCAGAATATTGCCATTCTAATATCAGGTCAGCAACATGGGACTAGGCAAAGTCAGTAATTGCACCGTGATAATTATCATATACTACATAAATAGATATTCATAACACAGGATGAAAGTGATAAAGAGACTATATCATGTATGATATAAGAGATGGAAGAGGACAATATGTGTGTTTCTTTGCTTTCTGCAACAAATAACATAAATGATGAAAAACATAAATAAGAAAACCTTCAAAGCTATCACTTTTCACTTACATTTTTCTTTTCTGCTTTTTAGGAGAACACTTGCGTTTTATTTAAGTGACGCCTTGAGCTTGAAGCAGTACCCTTCAAACAAAAAAAAGGTCATACTACATTTGAAAATTAAGTGAAAGAATCTTATAACAATCCCAGTTAACTAAAAGATAACAAATGCACCTTAACTTTATGATTTAATGCCATTTAGAGGGATCAGCTTGTCAGTTTCTTCAACATGTAAAAGATAGATTGCAGTCTTCTTTATCACAATATGTTTGTATGCAAACTTGACTTCAATTTCCACCTCATTTCCAGGCTCCAAATTAGATACCATATTCTGCCATTCTTCATCAACAGAAGTAATTATTGCAACTTCTCGGTTGTAGAAATCCATGGTAGCCTTTGTGAAATTCTTTATCATTAGACCAACAGAGCGTACAGATGCCATGCTATCTTGAAGAGATGAATAGATAACGCTGAGGACCATTCCTTTTAAGCTATGACCAAAAACTTGAGGAACTTCAAATGACACCGAAGACCCCTCATGTTCAAAAACTAACCAATCAGGATAATTTTCTTTAGGAAGAGAATAGTGAAGCCCTTCGTTCCATCCCTATTCCA